GGCCAAGAAGCCCGAAAAACCCACAACAACCATTAGATCCCGGCCGTGAAAGCCTTCGCGAATACAATAGTAAAAAGACTATTGCCACAGATAAACACTCTATCTCATTACAAAGCAGTATATTCTTTTGAAAGCTAATCTATTTTATACAGAGTCTTACTATCTTCACTTGTTCATTTATCAGTACGAATTTCACTTGACTTTTTCCATTACTCTACTCACAACTCTGAAATGCCTCTCAGATATCTATACCAGGATGGACAGTTTGCAAATAGTCCCAAACAATTATATTCCTATGGACTAGCTGTATCTATCCAGAATTCTCTTTGTCAATTGTAGCCAACAGGTTCTTCTGATGAATGGCATGCACATTCAGCAATACTCCATGTATGCCGAAACCATTTAATAGTTGGTTTCCCTAGATTCCTTCAATACACAGCACTGCTTTTAACTGTTCGCTTTTCTTTCTGGAAACATTATGGATATCACATTCACTCAGTAATATCATTGAAAGTAATCCTCACTGGGCAAGACCACTGCACTGACATGGAAATTAGTCATTTTCTAAAACATGTAAGTTCAGCACCATTTAAATCAAATGGAATTTTGCCAATAAGTTCAGAGAGGAACTATTTGTTACCTGGGGGAAGGAATACAGCTGAAGATCCAGGAAGAATAAAACTACCCATTCACTGTTACTGTAAATAAGCTTCAAACTGTCTAAAATGGTATACCTGCACAGATGTCCAAAGAAATGAAAATCAATTAATATACATATACCAATTCAAACATTTCCCATCCCAAACAGGTGCCTCTGAATTTCAGCAGCAAGGACAACAATTAAGAAACTCTCAGAATTAAAGTTTCTAGAACACCCTGAGTGCTCACTGGAAGGACAGATCCTGAAGCTGAGGCTCCAATACTTTGGCCATCTCATGAGAAGAGAAGACTCCCTGGAAAAAACCCTGATGTTAGTATCTCCGGGAGACAGTGGAAGACAGCCTGGCGTGCTCTAGTCCATGGGGTCATGAAGAGTCGGACACAACTTAATGACTAAACAACAACAAAGAACACCCTAATCATTTCTTTTCCTTTGCCTCTAAACAGTGATTGCTGCACTAAAGCAGTCAAATAAGCAGGGGTTCTTATTAGCTGTGGCTCTAAGTGATCTAAGTAATATAATCTATCTGTGACACTTATTTCAGACATTTCCCTTTTAGCAAATTCCCTTACTAAACTATACATTTGCTTTTTAAAAAACACAGTGTGGATTTGACAGTGCTAAAAAGGATGCAAATCAGTTTCAGGCGTGTAAGAAAGTATCCCCTTTCAACAGCTTTATGCCACATGCCTGACCTATACTTTGTAAACTTCTATATTTCAAAACCTTTTCAAATATTACAGTGGCATATCTTCATTTATTTCATATTGCAGCTGGAACATAAAACATTAGCTAAGCATACATATATTTCACACTAAAACTCTTTAAAAATTGCAGTATAGGAATGTGATTTTACCTTGAACTTGAAAAATGACAAATGCACAGAACCCCAGCAATCTGATGTAAACTTTCAGACAAATCATTGTTCACATTTAACTCCTTTATATGTGCTGTCAACTCTGGCAAACTGCCCTGCTGCTTGACAACTTTTTAGCCGGACTGCTTAGTAAAATCGGACAGAAGATTCGGTGATCAGTTGAAACAGCTAGTTAATTACTTCCAACTTGTTTTCTGAAAAAGAAATGACATATTTTTGAATACACACATAAGATCCTGAGTGAAATACCAAAAAGGGGAAAACAAATCATTTTAGGATCTTAACATTAAAAAAATGAATTTATGTGAGCACATATAGTCATGATTAACTGAAACCTATCAATGAGCATTTTAACTTCTTCTACAATTCACTGTAATACAACTAGCTGCTTGCTCTCATATAAGCAACTAAAGGAGAAACCTGAAGGATTACAGAATACTACTGAAAACAGGATTTTAAAAAACTCATATTCACTCCATTCCAACATGCTGATATGACATGTTACCTGTATAGTTCTGTGCAGTGAACAGACTTCTGTGGGGAAAAAATATCTCCAATTTTGACTGTTTATCGAGGAAACTTCTAAATGTACACTTAACTGCAGAAAAGGGTTGCAGTTAAATCACTTTATCACTTTAAATCACCATTGGGAAATAAAGTGAGAAAACATTAAAATTTTGTGACTGCAACTCTCAAAGGAGTTTCTGCAGTGATTAGTAGAGTCTAACTAGGTCTGTATGGAGTAAACAGCAATTTGGACACTTAAGTAGTTAACAGAGACAATACAGATTCTGTGTTAAGATGAACAGAAAACTGATTTTGCCTTCCTTTGGCCTCTTGTTTGAGTGGGCTTGACCTCTTGACCCATGTCAGCCTGGCGCTATTCCTGAATGCAAAAATTTGTATCTATGCAAGGATGTGCTGCAATTATTGTTGGTGGCTGCTGCTTCTACCATAAATAACTCAATCTGTCTGTTGGCAGGACCGAAGAACTTTTCATTTTAATTACTGCTTCACAGGCATTTAACATGGAGGCAAATTACTGGTGGAGCACCGAGGTGTCTGTCACTTTCAATTTGCACAGGCAGGGGGCATACAGCCTTCGACCTGTGGCCTACTTTTCACACATCTGTGACTTCTTAGTAATGAAGAAACAAAGCAGCTTCCTCACCATATGAAATAAAACCACTGTAATGGCAGAACCCACCTTTAGACAAAGAAAGTAATGTATGTTCACTGTTGGGCAATGTCCACACTGTGCACAATGTACTGACATAAATCTTTTAAAATCTAAACCAATATTGTAGCTCTTTAATAGGTCTGATTTCACTGTTGTTTAAAAAATAATCTGATTTTACTCTATTGATTTAACTCTGTTTTACTGTAATGCCTTGGCTTCTATATGATCCAAAATATTGCCATAAAGAAAAGACAGTATACTCAAGCACTTTTTACAATGCAAATAACTTTCAGGTAAAATCCTTTTAAAAATCATTGACATTTTCCCCTAATATGAATATACATGTTTTTAGAAAGCCATGGCAAAGTATTTTCACTTCCAAACAAAAATCATGACTTCTGAAAAACAAGACTACTGTTTTCTATTTGTGATTTCAAAGAAAAAAATAATGTAACATATATGTGCTATATAGTGGCATTTACCAAATTTTCAGGAAAGTATGGATAAGAACCAACCTAGCGGTTCAAAAGCATGCAAATGCGAGTAGATAAATAGGGACCACTTCGGTGGGAAGGTAACAGCGTTCCGTGTCTAAGTCGCACTGGCCATGTGACCACGGAAGATTGTCTTCGGAGAAAACGCTGGCTCTATGGCTTGGAAACGGGGATGAGCACCGCCCCCTAGAGTCGAACACGACTGGACAAAAATTGTCAAGGGGAACCTTTACCTTTACCTTTATGGATAAGGTCAATAATAATGAGGTGAATTAAAGAGCAAAAGGAACCAAAATATACAGGTTGAAAGAATAAAGAAAAGATTTAGAACTAACTTAATTATATAAACTTTTATTTTATTTATTTATTTTATTATTTATTTAAAATATTTTTACTCAGACTTTCTCCTTAAAAAGATCAAAGGCAGCTTACACAATTTAAAAGGCAATATTTAAAAGCTAAAAGCAGTAAGTACAAACAAATATTAAAAAAGAATCCAACAAGTATTATATTAAATAATGGTAAATAAAACTGGTACTAAAAACTATTTAAAAGCAACAGAGCACAACAATCTATTTTAAAAACCCCTCTAATAAGTCCTGTGGCTTCAAGATCTTTCTTTTCTCCTTTCATTTCTTTTGAAAAGAACAAAGGTCAGAACAGAAGCAAATCCTGCTTTCATAACTTATATCTAGAGCCAGGCAGCTATTTTCCTTGGTGTTCAACTGGCTGATGATCTGGTATTTTTTCTCTTCACCACATGACATATGGTATGGCAAACTTGCATAAGCCACTGAGATTTAGCTGCTACAAACATGTCCTCTGAACTGACAGATCTTGCTCAGTTGTACTCCATGTAAGCTGCATGCTAACCTACTTGATTCATAACTCACCCTATCAACAAGGACTCACACATGGTCCCAAAATAAACTGTTGCTTATCCTTGGCCATTAAAGGCTTGGGCTATAATACAAAGGTCTTACATCACCTTTGAAAGATGTTCATACAGTATCTCAGACAGTGATTCCAAAGTTGTAGGAAGTGCATAAGTATACTAATGGATGCATTACTAATACAGTCAGACTATTTTAAGAGGATAATTTTTTACAGATAAATACATAAAGTACAAAAGAGTACTGCCACATTCTGACTCAGCAGTAAATTGGGAAGACAGTATTTTCTGAGTTTGCTTTGATACAGACATACAGTGGTGCCTCACATGAGCACACCGTTTAACAACGACTTTGCATAGCGATCCGTTTTTTGGGATCGCTAATGCGATCGCATACCGATGGTTCCAACGGGCAAAATTCGCATTACGATGTCGGGGGAACAGCTGATCGGCAATTCCAAAATGGCCGCCGGAAGACCCAAAATGGCCGCGCGCAGCGTTTACGCGCCCTGCCCTCACTTACCGAGGGCGCGAAAATGCCTGCGCTATGGAGGAACATCGCTGAACGGTGAGTTTGGGGCCCACTGGAATGCATTAAACAAAGTTTAATGCGTTCCAATGGGTTTTTCTATTCCGTTTAGCGATGTTTCCGAATAGTGATGGTTAATCCGGAATGGATTAACCTTGCTATGCGGGACACCACTGTATATAAACCTGCCAAAAGGTTTGTGCCCAAACCTTATGAAGAAAAAAAGTTAAAATAAAACCTGAAATTTGTAGTCAATGGCAGCTTTACAGTAAAAGATTATTTAGGTTTTTAAAGCCATTATTTTTGATAAGAGTAGTCTGATGTATGTATTTGTCTTTTGTTTCATAGCCAAATTATATAACAAGTCATACATAATTTCCGATGCAGAATTTAATTTTTTCATTAGTTTTCAAGGTAGATTACTGCAGTTTGTTCCTGAAATTCCACAGAAAATAAACAAGTGGTAATCCATATTTTTAAAACTCAGATTTTGTTTGCACGCACCAAAAATTCAAATAAGAAAAAAAGGTTCCTAGGGTTTCACTAATATCCCAGCACTCAAAGCTCTTATATAACAAAGGTTCATGCCTCCAGTTCAAAGTTATCAATTGGCCAGCATTCCACAGGTTTCATCTGAGATCTAAAATTACCCAGGTATTAACAACAAACTGTTAATTTAACTCCAGAGGAGACTAATAGAGTGCCTGAAATAGTTTTTTCTTCTATTTTTTTTTTACACAAGAGACAAATTATGTTACATTTCACCCACTTCCAGGTGGCAATTAATGAGTTCCTGCTAGGAATCCCAAGCAAACACCATGCCAGAATGTCTCTGACAAGCACAATGGTGACTTCTTAATTGCCAGCTAGAAGCTGGTGCATGTTACACTGCTTGCTGTCCATGTGCGTAACAAAGCAACACAATTTCAGCCAGTGATTCAATCCATGTAGAACCGCCAAGCTCTCATCAAAGACGCTAAGGACAAGAGATTCCCACCACACCCATTACTATGATGGGCCACCTACCTCTCCATTATAAATAAAATCATGACTTGAATATTGACAGCTTAGAAGGACTTGCTAGTTTGTACTCCGCAGAAGTTGGAAATGACAGGTTACCCACCTGTAATTGTAGTTCTTTGAGTGGACCTCTGTGATTCACACTCTGGGTGATTTGCGCCTACGCAGAGCCTCATTGGATGATTCTAGAGCTTCAGTGGTAGCAATAAACACATTAGAATAAGCCCCTCCCCACCTGTATGTACCTTGGCGCCAAGCATCCCCTTTCAGTTGTGTCAACACCACTTAATAATAAGCAAACAATGGTGTGACAGAGGGGAAGATGGGCGGTCCACTCAAAGAACTACAATTAGAGGTGGGTAACCTGTCCTTTTTTGTGGCCTCTGTGATTCACACCCTGGGTGATTAATAAGCCGTCTTACCCAGAGGCAGGGTGTCACGCCAAGGTAGAGGCAAGAACAGCACGTCCAAAGGCCACATCAGACTTCTGCCAGAGGTCGAGTCTATAATGCCGGATAAACATGGACAGCTGTGCCCAAGTGGCAGAGGCACAGACGTCCAGAAGAGGTATGCCACAGAGAAAGGTTGCAGAGGCTGCCACTGCCCTGGTGGAGTGACGGCGAACCACGCTAGCGGCTGGTTGTTGAGCAAGTTGGTAAGCCAAATGAATGGTAGAGGCGACCCATCTGGAGATAGATGAGGAAGTCAACTGACGGCCTTTTGTAGGTAGTTGATGGCTTATGAAAAGACAAGGTGACTGTCTAAAAGGTTGAGTACGTTGGAGATAAAAAGCAAGAGCTCTTCTGACATCCAACGTATGGAATATTCTTTCTTAGTTCGAAGAAGGTGACAGGAAAAATGAAGGAAGGACAATCAGCTGGGAGAGATGAAATTGAGAGACAACTTTGGGAAGGAAGGAAATGTCCATGGATAACTTCACCTTATTGATAAAAAATTGTAGATAAGAGTGGTCATAGCATAAGGTTGCCAAATCATTGGTTGTCGAACCGAAGTGATGGCTACAAGAAAAGCTGTTTTAAAGGCGAGGAGTCTTAAATAAGTTGTGGCTAAAGGCTCGA